GCAACAGTGGTTTGCATGAGCATAGTGAAAATCTGGTAGAATAACTGACAAAATATCCACAGTTATATTTGAAAGATAGCATGGAGACAGGAATAAAGGTGCTGAGAACTTCCTGCGTGTCTTTTCCTGTCTAAAATTCTTATACAAATTGTTTCATTTAATCCTTATGAAACTGTTACAAGATATAAGTTATATACTCATTTTACAAAATAAGGCTCTAAGAATCTAAATGTTAATTATTTGCTCAAGTTGCATAGCAGTAGATGAGGTGAGGTGCTCTCAGGGTTTAAAAAGCAGGCTAAGCAAACGTGTGGAGATGATAGAGAGTGGAGTAGTTAAGTGACCAGCCCGACTAGAGTTGAGAGTTCATATTGGGAAGCAATAAAAAACAAAGGAGGTTTAACAGGACTATATTATGAAGGGTATTGAAGGCCAAACAGGAATTTAGATATGTTGTCTCTGAGGAGCAGAGTGAACAATTGGTGGGGATGCGAGTAAAGTTGGGAAATCCATCATTTTTACATACTTCTTCATTGCTTGACTTTGTTACAGCAAATACATATTTTTGTAGGTAACAACACTGAGATAAAAATATTCAACAAACATTTTGAGATTTTAGTATATGCTAAGTATTGTATTGGATCGGCCAAAAAGTTCATTTGGGTTTTTTCCATAAGATGAGTCTACCAGCATTTAGTTGTCTTTAACTTCATTTGAAACAATGTGACAGCTGTCAATATCACAGTGCATATTTACTTTTTAAGTATATTTTATTGATTATGCTGTTTTAGTTTAAATTTTTCCCCATTGCACCCTCTGCCCTTCCCTCCAGCATCTCCCCTTCTCACCAGCAATCCCACCCTTAGTTCATGTCCATGGGTTGTGCATGTAAGTTCTTTGGCTTCTCCCTCTCCTATACTGTTCTTAACCTCCCCTTGTCTATTTTGCACCTACCGGTTATGCTTGATCCTGGCACCGCTTCCCCATTCTCCCCCTTCACCCTCCCCACTGATAACCCTCCAAACGATCTCCATACCTATGATTCTGTTCCTGTTCTAGTTGCTTGCTTAGTTTGTTTTTGTTTTTTAGATTTAGTTGTTGATAGTTGTGAGTTTGTTGTCATTTAATGTTCATAGTTTTTATATTCTTTTTCTTAATAAGTCCCTTTAACATTTCCTGTAATAATGGCGTGGTGATGATGAACTCCTTTTGATTTTTCTTTTCTGGGCAGTACTTTATCTGCCCTTCCATTCTAAATGCTATCTTTGCTCGATAGAGTAATCTAGTTTGTAGGTCCTTGCTTTTCATCACTGTGAATACTTCTTGCCAGTCCCTTTTTGCTTGAAAAGTTTCTTTTGTGAAGTCAGCTGACAGTCTTATGGGAACTCCTTTGTAGGTAACTCTGCTTTTGTCTTGCTGCTTTTAATATTCTCTCTTTATCTTTAACATTTGGCACTTTAATTATGATGTGTGGTCATCTCTGTGTCCAACTTGTTTGCGACTCTCTTTGCTTCCCAGAGTTGCATGTCTAGTTCCTTAGCTAGATTGGAGAAGTTTTCCTTCGTTATTTTTTCAAATAAGTTTTCACTTCTTGTTCTTATTCTTCACCTTCTGGCACCCCTATGATTCTGATGTTGGAACATTTAAAGTTGTCTCAGAAGTTCTTAAGCCTCAAGCCTCTCCTTTTTTTTTTTTTTTTTAAATTCTTGTTTCTTCTTTTTGTTCTGGTTGAATGTTTATTTCTTCCTTTTGTTCCAAATCATTGATTTGAATCCTGGCTTACTTCCCTTCACTGTTGGTTCCCTGTATATTTTTCTTTTTTTCACTATGTGTAACCTTCATTTCTTCCTTTATTATTATTATTATTATTATTTTTGCTGTACTCAGTGAGTTCTCTGAGCATCCTTATCACCAGTGTTTTGAACTTTGCTTCTAATAAGTTGGCTCTCTCTGTTTTGTTTAGTTCTTTTTCTAGGTTTTTGTTCTGTTTTTTCATTTGGGCTATATTTCTTTGCCGCCTCAATTTGGCAGCCTCCCTGTGTTTGTTTCTGTGTATTGGGTAGAGCTGAGTTTACTCCCTGTCTTAGTTATTTGGCTGTGTAGCAAAGGCACCTGTAAATTGTGTGGAGAGGAGGCTTAGGTAATTGCCAGGGTAGGGTACCCCACTTCACTGCTCTGTGGCTCCACCTGGGGGGTGGTGACTGGAGAGGGGACAATTCCACTGCCTAGCCTCCAGAGGTCCACCCAGTGCTTGCCCCATTTCCAATCACTTCACCCACTTCCTGTAAGTGATTGGTGCCTCTCTAGCTGCTGCCCTGACGTTTGCATACATTCCAAGTTCATGTAGGCTGTTTAGGTAGTGAAAATCTGACAATTTCTTCTGCTGCACCAATCCCCAGAGGTTTATATAGCCAGAGGCAATGGAGGTTTTCTTCCTGGTGCTGGGACACTGGGCTGTGTGGCCTGGCCTGGAGCTAGGATCACTCACTCCCAGGCTATTCCTCCCAATTTTTATCCACCACACATGAATGTGGGACTGTCGTGCTACTGTGGCTGCTTGTCTGTGCCACACCACCTCTCCACCCACTCTCCATGACTCCGCCCCTCCTACCTAGCTGGATGAATGTGGCTTATTTAAATCCTTGGTTGTTGGACTTCCATACAGCTCAACTTTTTGACAGTTCCAGGTATTATTTGTTTTTGAGATCTGGTTGTAACTCTTTCTTTGGCTGTGTGAAGAGATTAAACGTGGCTACTTACCCCTCCATCTTGACCAGAAGTTCTTAGAGTGCATTAAAAAAAACCCATCAAAATCAGTGAGTTTTTGTGTAGCCATTTTAATATTAAAGATGGAAGAAAATATGCAACATTTCCAGCATATTATGCTTTATTATTTCAAGAAAAGTAACAATGCAACTGAAACACAAAAACAAAACAAAAAAAAGATTTGTGCTGTGTATGGAGGAAGTGTTGTGACTGATCCAATGTGTCAAAAGTGGTCTGCGAAGTTTCGTTTTGGAAATATCTCACTGGATGTTGCTCCACGGTTGGATAGACCAGTTGAAGTTGCTAGCAATCATCAAATCAAGACTTTAACTAAGAACAATGAACATTATACCCTGCACGAGATAGCTGACATTTTCAAAATATCCAAATCAATAAAGGTATTGGTGAAAATGAAAAATGTGTCTTTTATTTCACAGAAAAAAAATGGACTTTTTGGCCAACCCAATACTATTGTTGATTTGTAACCATTCAAAGGCCATCAGAAACACATCTGTAGTTGAATAAAGATGGGTTTATTAGCTTTTTGCAATGGGGAGAACATATGTCATGGGGAACATGGGGCATCTCAGTAAGGAAATGTTAGAAAAAAATTATTTATTTATTAAAAGATTTTATTTACTTATTTTTAGAGAGAGGGAAAGGGATGAAAAAAGAGAGGAAGAGAAACATTGATTTGAGAGAAACATCGATCAGTTGCCTCTCCCATGTGCCCCAACTGGGGACTGGGCCTGAAACCCAGGCATGTGCCCTGACTGGGAATCTTACCTGTGACCTTTTGGTTTGCAGAACAACACCCAATCCATTGACCCACACCAGCAGAGCTAGGAAGGATTTATTATCTGATTTGGGCTTATGTTAGTCAACTTTGGGAAGAATTTAATGAAGTATGATTTTCTCTGGATGCTGTTGGAAAGTGGAGTAAAATTCTATGATCGGATATCTTAATTTTAATCTAGAAAGCAGTTGGGCTAAAGCTCTACTTGGTAAAGAGGCAGCCACCACTCATATTAGCTTAAAGAAGGGGATGTTTGGTCATTTATTGGTGTTTGGGATGCGGTTTTTTATTTTATCTATACTCAGACGATTATAGGGTGATGGTGTTTTGTCTTGATCCATCATGGTCATAGAGTGGCCTTCTCTGATGTTGGCATTCTGTGAAATTGTTTATGTTCAACAGGATTACACTACAGCCTGGTTATGAGCTCCAGGAGCTCCTGGCAATACCAAGACCTATGGGTAATGCCAAGCCTGGTCCCAACTTCTGGGGGCTGCTTTCCTCTTTGTCACTGTGTGTTAGGGATCTAGAAGTGAAAAAGGCAATTTCTCCACAGGGGAAGTACATCTAAATAAAGAATTATGCTCCAGTGTGGTACATGTAATAAGAGAAGTGTTAAAAGCAACTTTGACATTATTATTTAGCATGTATCCAAGTTTTATTTTAAACTTACCACAAAGGAATTATATCTCTAGGAAAATTTGTTGAAAGAGTTCCTTCTGGTCAGGAGAATGTTTTTTTGTTTGTTTGTTTGTTTGGGTTTTTTTTTTCCCTTAATAGAAAATGTATTAGGTCAGATTGCTAGAGTAGGTATAAGAAACAAATGTCTGTTAAAGATTATAGAAAGATCTCATGGCTACTTAAAAGTCACTGCACCACTAACATACATTAAACATATGCTATCTTTCTGTGTATCAATTATACCTAAGTAAAACTGTTTTTAAAAAAGTCATCACACCTTTTACTACAGATATCCTTCCACTTTTCAAAAGTTTGCATTACGCCACTTCGTTTTTATGAAAGACCTGCATTAGTACCTGTTTCTGCTAATTAAGTTAGTCCAAAGATTTTTGCTTTTAAATTAATGGTAATTGATTCTTCTATGTATATCATATTGCCTTAAGAAAGGTTTCATAGGAACACTCTACTTTTGGATAGTGGGGGAAATCTGTACTTGGTAAAGATCATTAGACTTTTTCTGAAACTGATGATAAATCTTTCACGAAAGTCTAATTTCTGTCATATAGGAATCCTATTTTATGATTCCAATAAAGACAGTGTTTTAAAAAAAACTGCATGTTGCAGTCCAATGAATTAAGGCTTTTGTAGTCAGCACAGCTATTTAAGTCCTCAGAGTGAGGACGAAAGACTATTGAAGGAACTTAAACATCTCCACCTTATTATTTATCAGAACTTGGAAGTAAGGCACATTTCTGGTTCATGAATTATGACTAATTCTCATGCTGATCAGGACATTTCTCAGAGCAAGTTTCATGTCCTTATTACGAAGACTATAGATCAGGGGATTAAAGAGAGGAGTCATTATTGAATATACCAATGTGAGGATCTTCTGCATCAAAGTTGGCATGCCATATGTAGGGCTCACATACATTACCATGACTGTCCCATAGAAAAGAGATACCACAGCTAAGTGAGAACCACAGGTGGAAATGGCCTTTTTCCTGCCAGCTGCAGAAGGGACCTGAAAAACAGCTCTGAGCAACAAAATGTAGGATCGAAGAATATATATAATAGTCAGAAAAAGGACAAGGGAGCTCTGAATATTGAAAATAAATTCAGTAATGGAGGCTGGACCACAGGACAGAGCCATCAGTGGGTCCATGTCACACAGGAAGTGATCGATGATATTGGATGCACAGAAGGGGAGTTGGGAGATGAAGAAAATGGGGATTGGGTAGCCAAGGAATCCAAAGAGCCAGCATAGAGACACCAGCATTCCACAGAACTTCCCAGTCATGACGGTAGGGTAGTGCAGCGGGTGGCAGATGGCCAGGTACCGATCGTATGCCATTATTGCCAGCAAGAAACATTCTGTTGTGCCGAGGGAAGAGAAGAAATAGAACTGGAGGAAGCAACCAGAAAATGAGATGGCCTTGGTTTTGGAGAGAATGTTGATTAGCATGTTAGGAACAGTGGAGGAAACATAGCAGATCTCAAGGAAGGCAAAGTTTCCAAGCAAAAAGTACATGGGGGTGTGTAGTCGTGGGTCCCATCTCACTGCACAGATAATGGCTCCATTTCCCAGCAAGGTCAAGATATAAATTGCCAAAAACAATGAGAAGAGGAAAATTTGTATCTCCCAGCAACCAGGGAATCCAAGGAGAACAAACTCAGTCATAACATACATTGCTGACTTGTTCATGGGTCTTAAATCTATGAAGGAGAAAGGCATGACTTTAAAACCAAGTTGCTTTGCTTCCTACATATCTCAAGGACTTTATTGAGAAGGGAACTTTCTACAGGAAATGTTTAACATTAGTAATTGCAAGATTACTCTGTTGTTTAAACACAAGGATTTGTACATTTTCAATTCTTAATAAATTTTTTAATAAAAAGGGAATTTTCTGCAAGAAAATATACAAGATATTTTGAGATCCTGTGTAAATAAATCTCACTTATTTTAAATTGGTTGTGGTTCTAAATCTCAGTATTATTTTGCTAGAATCCAAATACAGCAAGAATTTTCCACATCATTGGTACAACCAGACAAATTCATTTCTCTTTTGCTTTGATACTTAAGAAGACCTTTTCTGATTTTGATTTGTTTTTCTAAAGTTGACTAAGGGTCTTCAGGCACAAAATTATCCACTTTCTCTTTTTCAGCTTACATGGCTTAAAAAGAAAGACGACATATATTCTGAGAACAGTTGGTGTGATATTGGGTTAAACCTTTGGCAACCAAACACGTGGATATAAAACTTACTTCAGACACTGGCTTTTCATAATAGTCTAATCAACTGAATTAATTGTCACAACTGTCATTACACTCAAGACTCAAAGCTGTTCTTAAATTTTGCTTTAAAGGTTTTCTTTTAAAATATCACTCTAATTAATTGAGTGACACCTAAAAAATATACAGAAGACCCAGCACATCAAATGTATTTTCTCTAAAGGATAAGTGAGAATATTATTTTTTAATATCTCTCTTTGCAAGTGTTTATTTTCATGTTTTTTATCCATACTATGCAACACAAACTGTCTTATTTTTCATATTTAGATTCTACTTAGATAAATAGTGCTTTCAGTACAAAAATTTAGTTCACAGTATTTTTTAGATGATAAAAACAAAGGGATCTGAGATCAAATGGAGTTTTATCTGCAATGTTATCTTGGAAAATTAATTTTTTTCTCTGAAAGGGGAGAGAGTACATTTTCAAATATTTAGATAGGCAGGTACTTTTCAGTAGTATTTAAGAATTTATATTTAATGCCCTGGCTGGTATGGCTCAGTTGGAGCGTCATCCAGTAACCAAAAATTGTGGGTTCAATTCCTGGCTGGAGCACATACCTAGGTTGTGGGTGTAATCCCCAGTCTGGATGCATATGGGAAGCAAATGATCAACATCTCTCTCTCTCCTTTCCTCTTATAGCAATGAAAAAATGTTCTGGGGTGAAAAAAATTTATTAAGAATTGAACAGAAATGTACAAATCTTTGTGTTTAAACAACAGAGTAATCTTGCAATTACTAATGTTAAAAATCATTGATTAAGAGTCTTAAAAATGACAGTCTGAATATTGAATTTTCTTGTTAAATTCAAATTTCTTGCCTTGTATACTGGAGGTCACCAGTCATAACTTTGTTAGCAATGGAAGCTAAAGAAATTTGAAAGGCAAAGAACAGAAAAGAAACCAAGATTTGAACTTCAATATTATTATTCCTTTGTTGGCATTTCTAAAGAAGCAAAAAAAGGAAGGCTTGAATATCCAAATTCTAAAGTACAGTTTTCCGGTCAATGTTGAATTCAAAAGACTTTTTTTTTTTTTACCAACTTCACTAATAAGATGCTCAAGAAATGATTCCCAGACTGTCATTTATGAAGTGCAAGTAAATCACTTTCCTTGCTGTGGGTCATGAACTAAGGTCCAGGCTCATAGATTTAAACCAGGAGGCGGATTCATGAGATCTGTGCTTCCTGTCCTTCTTTCTGAAAAATGAACCATGCCTGCTTAATGTGAATAACAGTTCAGGACACCCTCCATTATACCCTGGCAATTTCATACCTCATTTTATCTTTTCAACCACTATACCCTGTAAGATTTATTAGCAGCAAAACTAATTTTCATGTAGTCTTTGGTGAAAGTGTAGATAAATAATAAGATGATCAAAGGGTGAGGAGCTTAATGGAAAAGTTAGCATAATCAATTTTCATTTTAACCATTGATAGAATAAACTGACTCCATCAACTTTTGTATAACTCCACCCCTCAAAGCCTCCAAAACTTCCAAAATTACTTGCTGGGAATGGTTAGGGCATTAGAATGGAATAGGTATCATTTTATTCCATAAACATGCTGTTTCTCATGATTTTGGCTTTCATAAATTATCATGTGAGCTATAATTCAAGGGACCAGCTCTTTCATACACTCCTTTCCAATATAAGAAACTAATCAATCAATCAATCAATCAATCAATCAATTCACTAGTGTACCCACCTCAGGAATAATAGCTTGATTAAACAGTTTTCTTCCAAATGTCCCTCACTTGGTATATTGTCTTCCCAGGTAGTCTGAGGAAGAGCTTACCGCCTGATTCCTCCTGGACAGTGAGATTGTTTTCAGGAAGATGGTCTCTAATAATCAAAGTCATAGAATTTGGGGGGAAAATGGTGCAGACAGCCTATTTTAACTATTCATTTTACAGATAGGCTTTTACAGAGGGTGCGTGACTTTTTGCCCTATGAGCATTAAGTGTCCTATAGTCACATACGCAATGTTTATGCTATCCTTCTACAGAGGAACAATGACTAATCAGATTTGTAAAGTAAAAGGCACTCTGCAGTATATCACAGCAGTGGTTGTAATGTGGACAATTAGTCCTTTTTCTCTTTCATACATGATAGATTTCCTGGCTCAGCTTGGGGAGAGTGATGGGCACGATGATGTTGAGCATAAAGGCATCTCCTTTTCATTGGCTCTGATGAAGAAAACTCCAGGCGAGGGCACTCTATGTGATTCATCAGACTTGCTTAATTTCTGGGAGCTCCAGATGCTTGTTTTCTAGAAATTTGCTGAGACATTTAACTAGTGAAGCTGTATTTAATATATGTTTCCTCTCAGGGATTACTCCAAAACTCCACATCTCTTCCCAAGTGGTGTCAGTGGCTTCTTCAAGCGTTCCCTGGAGTGACTCTTTGGTGCTCATCCAGTTGCTAGGTAGTGGCCAGAATTAGGAAAACAAAATCTAGGGGGAAATACTGGGTAAATTTTTGGAAGCTTTCTATTGCAAAGATTGTGTTCCACTGAGGAATCACCTCCTGTGAGGATCAGTACAACAAATGGAAGTTTTGCCCAGGCTTCTAAATCTGAAACTGAGACATGTGAGTTAACATTTTCTCTCTAGCTTAAATGAAATACTATGACACAGAGAAACAGGAAACTATATTCTTTTGGCCATTTTAAAATCAAATCCGCTAAAGTTTCCTGGAGTTTTTCACTGTAATGACCAGGTGGATGGTACTAGGTAGGAACTGCCTTGTGTAATCTGATATAACCTGGAGTGATGTTAATTGATGTGAAAGAAATCCAAGAGAGCAGAAGTCATTTAATTAACTAATCTAGTCAAATTTTTGGTTTCCACTCTGATTTCATGCTCAAAGAATGAGGAATTTGCACAAAGATCTCATGTGCAAATGTGAAAAGAAATTTTTTATCATTGGTCTTTTGTTATAATTCTAAAAAAAATGGGGTTGCATTCTAGGGTCCTCTTAGACCACTTCTTTAATTATGACTCATAGGTTTCCCCAGGAGTGAGGTAACAGGATCAATGAGAAAATCTTCACTGGTGGTCACTGGGCCAGTTTGTAAGTGAACTTGATATTCAGTGACACTCTATGCCATTTTCCCATCGGCTCCCTTGTCAAATATTAGTTGACTATATATGTGAGGGTTTATTTCTGGGCCCTCAATTCTGTTCCATTTGTCTGTGTCTATTTTTATGCTAGTACCATACTGTTTCGATTACTATAGTTTGTAGTATAGTTTGAAATCAGGAAATCTGATGCCTCTGGTTTTGTTTTTCTTTCTCAGGATTGCTTTGACTATTTGGGGTCTTTTGTAGTTTTTGTACAAATTTTAAGTTGTTTCTATTTCTGTGAAAAATACCATTGGAATTTTGGTAGGAATTTGCATTGAATCTTTTGCCTTTGGGTAGTGTGGACACTTTTTACAATATTAGTTCTTCCAATCCACGAATATGGACAGACTCTCCATTTATTACTGTCTTCTTCAATTTCTTTTATTAAAATCTTATAGTTTCACCTTCTTGGTTTAATTTATTCTTATGTATTTTATTGTTTTTGATGTTATTGTGAATGGGACTATTTTCTTTATTTCTCTTTCAGGTATTTCATAGTGAGTATATACAAATCAACTGTATGTTTATTTTATATCCTGCAACTTTACTGAATTTGTTGCTAGTTCTAACTGTTTTGGTGGTATCTTTATGATTTACTGTATATGAACAATTCCAGACATTTTTTGGGACAGATCATGTCATCTACAAAGACAATTCACCTTCTCCTTTTCTAATTTGATGCCTTTTACTTCTTTTCCTTGACTTATTGTTCTGGCTAAAACTTCCAGTACTATGTTGAATAGAAATAGTAAGTGGGGACACCCTTTTGTTGTTTCTGATCTTAGAGGAAAAGCTTTTGACCTTTCACTACTGAGTATTATGTTAATTATGGGCTTGTCATATTTGGCTTTTATTAGGTTGAGGTATGTTCCTTCTAACCCAATTTAAGAGTTACACAACATGTAATATAATAATATTATTATTTTTTTGGATAAATCATTTTTATTCTATAATATTGGAGTGAAAAGGTCCTTCTAAAGCATAAAACAAAGCCCAGAAGCCATCAAAGAAATATTGATGAACTTCACCACATAAAGTTTAAACAGGTAGGGAATCAAGATGGCAGAGGAGTGAGTGGAAGTCACGCTGACCTCCTCCCAGAACCAACCTGGAATTACAACTAAATTATGAAGAAATCACCTGGAACAAACAACTGAACAAGAGTGAGAGAGGAGCCTTGCAACCTTGGAGACAGAAGAATTGGCTTTAGCGCAATCTAACTGGTAAGGAGTGCAGTAGAGACCTGAGAAGGCAGGTGGGGCACCCACCGGCGAGAGCACCAGAAGGATATTGAAACGGCCAGTGGGATCCCCCTGAGA